AAGTAGGTGAGCGAGGAAGCACAATAAAATGGCCCGTTTCAATGGTATTCCTTCAGTTCATTCCCCTTCTTCAGTAACCTCTTATTCAATCCATGTACCCTCGTGGTCTTTGCTGAAACGCTGGTCGTTGTTGGTTGAACACATTAGAGCGATAAGGATCATCACTGTGAATTGTGTTGCCGTTTGCGCCGCCAAAGTTGGCCATTGAATTGCGGGGATTTCCTTGTAGTCTTCGAGGGTCAAAGTTGAGTCCGCCGTTGAACGGCTGCGATGGTGTTTGCCAGGGTCTAGGTGACTGCTGCGGAGTCTGCTGTCGATTGTAGCCCCTGTTGAACTGCGAAGGATGTGGCGGTCCGTTGAAATGCTGCAGCAGTGGATTAGATGGTGGCCCTCCATACTGCTGGCTGATGGGCGAAGGTGTCGTGGTCAGTTGAAAGGGATTGTACTGCTGTTGTTGCTGCTGTTGATGCTGTTGCTGATTGTACAGCTGATTTGGATCATCGTATTGCACTGCAACCGTTGGTGAAATCTGGTCAATCTGATCATAGTTACAAATTATCAAAGTTCTTACCTCCAGACTGGTAGCCGCCGAGCTGGTTGTTGTTCAGCTGATTCAGTTGACCCATTGGCTGGTGATTGAGCATGCCATTGTTTGCCGGGTAGCCATTGTTTGAGTACTCAATTGACGGCTGCAGTGGCCCCCGCTGAACCACCGGAGGCATCATCGGCGGCTGAATTGGCTGGTAGCTGTTCTGGTAGGCAGCAGGTGGGGACTGCATCTGATTGCTCACCGGGGCGTACGCATTGGAGTTGCCATAGCCAGGGTTTGGGTTATGAAAAGAGTTGCCCTGCACTGGACTCACCGCGCCCACTGCACTGTTCTGACCATCATTGGCATGGCTTCCATCAGTACCTGCGGCTCCAGCAACTCCGGCATCCTCTGCTGCACCGTGTTCTCCGGCATTTGCACCTTCAGCAGCTCCTTCTCCACCCTCTCCTCCTGCTCCTTCGGCCACCTCAGCACCTTCCGTGGGCACCTCCTCCCCAGCTCCATTGCTGTCATCGCCGCCATTGTCCTCGTAGTCTGCCCCGCCCTGTCCGCCCTGTGCAGCCTGCTGTTGCTGCTGCTGTTGTCTCTCCTTCTCCTCCGCCTCCTTGGCTTGCTTTTCCTGTTGCTTGCGAATTTCATTGATGTCATCCTGTGTGAGCAGTCCGGGCGGGAACAGTCCTTCAGGGAAATTGTCGCTCACAGGGCCGCCAAAGTTTTGCAGCTGCTGAATGTCGGGATCTTCTGCCGGGTTCTGTTGCGAGTCGTCGGCCCCTGCGCCAGGGTTCTCCTCTTCACCCCCGGCGCCTTCTCC